CAGGCAATGGATTGGCCAATGGCTTGGCTGGTGCTGACTGAGTTGTGGTCGGTAGCTGACTTTGTAACACCGTCAAAGGCTTTGAGATCCCGCTTCACCCATTTCAGTACGTAAGTCTATGATGCCCATGCTCACGCCCACACAGGTGTAGTACTGTCTCAATCTTGAGCAGAAAATGTCAGCAACAATTTCAGAACCGGTGCCAGAAGACTCCAGCCATTGATCGAAGTGTCTGGATTTGTCACAGCATCGGAGCTCCCCACTGCAGATATTCTTGCAAGCTTCCTGCATGACAGCTTTGCTACAAGTTTTGTAATGGAGTCTTTGGAGCCAAGAGCAACGACTCTTCAACTCTTCTCAACTCTACACTGCTGCATACTGCCATCAAGGTGTGGTGTACTCGGCCGAAGGCCTATCATGCAATCCTCAAGTTGAATCTGCAATGAGTGATGGAAAATTGGATTGGATGGAGCTTTGACCCTTCAATGCTGAGTGCCGGGGCTTGAGTCGTATAATGTTTGAAGCCAGCAGCAACTTACAGAAAACTAGATTCCGATTCATTCTTCCTGGACGAGATCGTAGAGGTGAGAGACTCTAAAGTTGTAGCGATGGCACCCCTCAAAGCGCAGCCAGGAACATGAGGCAAGGGTCCTGCCCGAGTCGCGTGTCAAACTTGCTTCATCCATCTAATTGCTCGTCGTCATGTTCACCTCTTAAAGCTGCATGCCTTGAAGTTTCAGAACCTGCCGACCCTCGCGCTAGATGCAGAACACTGAACATGGAAATGCAAATGAAGCATGACTGAAACAAGTATGCATTTCTTTTGGCCGATTTACCGTCAAAGGGGCAACGAATTCGGATATGCTTGGCGGATTCCGGCAACAGGTTACCAGGTTGCTAACCTACACAGCAAACTGCGCGTTCGAAGGGGTCCGCGGTGTCCCAAAAACCGCACCAAAACAAAGCTGATGACTGAACCAGCGACTTACCTCGAATGCAAGCAAGCTCGACTTTTCAGTGCAGCCATGTGGACGGAGGTCCAGCGCGAGGGGCAAGCGAGGAAGCAATTTGTCCACAAGATTCTTGCCTCAGGAAGGTCTCTGCAAGGGCAACGACGCTTGCTTGACAGTTCTGTGAGGTCCGCACTACATGCAGCGCGCACTTTGCAAGAACTGGCTCAAGCGGTCGAAGACGGAAGCGTCGGTGCCACCTGCTAAAGAAGAACGACAGTTGGGGCTCTCGAATCCAAACGACGAATCAGCTACCTGAAGTGTGTCATCACTTCTCGTGGCCGGTGGAGACTGTAGCAATTCAACGAGGGTTACAAGTGCAGGGTTCGAGGATGTCGTGTGGAGGGAGTATATATAGGCCCACGCTTCTGCAGATCCACAGTTCAGTACAGCTGTCCCTTTTTATCGCGCAGTTCTTATCGCAGCTTGTGGGCGCCTTCCTTTGCAGATGGCATCTGGCTCGGAACCTGGCACCAGCATTTGTCCCATCTGAAACTTCGACGACGAGAAACTAGCCTTTTGTTGCTCGATCAAGCATGCTTGCAAGCAGCACATCAGAGTCACCTAACCTCAGCCCCTTGCACTGTGCATCTCAAGTGAGATCATCTCAGGATATTTCAGGGCTCTGGGGATTGGGGCGCCTCGATTACTTTCTTCACCGAGCGTGCAGGGACCTGCAACAATCGGATGCGCCACCGGACCAGGCTGTGTGCTGAGCCGTGCTCCATCGTGCTCTGCTTCCGGCGCCATGCGTGCCTCTCTCGGCAAGAGCCCTGTATCTTGAAAAAGCTCCGGGTACAGGGATGCCTCGCATGAAGGCATCGAAGGCATCCGCGAGGCTCTGAAGGCACACTCTCTAAGCATCCGGCCCGGCACTCTCGCAGCATCCAGGTGGCCATGTCGGCCGACACCGCACTGCAACAGCGAGGAGGACTTTTTTCAGAAGAAAGGTTTCGGGAATTGATTTTCCCAGCCTCTCATCCTCTGTGCACAGATCTTGGAGCTGCGGACGGGGCCCGTCTCCTGAGCCGAGCCCAGTGACGCGACCCCTTGCAGCTACCCGCATCCCCAGCACAAATTGGCGGCCACGGCTCCGATGCCGGAGATGTGAACATCGAGCATGGCCTCATCTTGCCCAAGCAGAGAGTGCATGTGCATAGGCGAGGCAAAACGGCCTCTCGCGCGAAGCAGCTCTTTTAAAGCCCGAGGTCCGCACGAGGACTGCTGGCCTGAAGGGGTTCGGCATGTACGCCTAGCAGGAACAGTCTGCTCCACATGCAAGGCATCGCAAGGCGAGGGTTTGCAGCACGTCGCAGTGCTGCGGCATGCTGCGGCTGCGCCTGGCCCGGAAGCATCTCCAGCATTTGGCGCCAGGCAAGTTGCCTGCAGGATCGCGATTCAAGAGCGGCTGCAGCGCAGTTTCTGGGAAACTAGCAGGTTGTCTGGCACGCCCGCCTTTCGAGATGCACAGCCTGCTCAGCATGCAGCACTGAGGGAACTGCTCCATCCTCTGCGGCTCGCGTGCGGGCTCTCACACCATGCTGCCCCGGAAGAGGGCGAAAAATACTGCAGCCCGCACGCGAGGCGTTTGCGCTGAAAACTTCAAACTTTGATACCACTTAGCCCTACAGACCCCGCCTCCGCCATGGCCAGGTCCTGCAAACCAACTTGAGCATAATTAGATAGGCATAGCTAGAGGTGTTTCTGCAAAAGCAATCAACTTGAAGTGCTGGAGAGTTTGCAAGAGGCTCCTCGAGCGCATGCGCTGCACTCAGCTTGGCCAGGCTGTCAAGCGCCTGGATGCAAGGCGACGTCCGAAGACCTTTTTTCCTGTCCCTTCTCCCTCCCTTCCCGAGGCCTCTGCACCCAGCTCAGGGACTGCCTTGGGCAAATTTCTCCGGAGTTGCAGTTAGTCAATCATACAGCTCTACACATCTTGCACTCGTCTTGCAGAGCCTGTAGAGGTGTGGGGCTTCTGAGAACCGGGCAGGCCAAAGCAAAAACTGGATGATGGGCACCATGATGCCGGCCACGCTCTCCTCCCTCATCCGCTCCAGGAAGGCGGCCATGCAACCTGGCTTATGCGAATTTTGCTTCCGCTGCAGCTTTCCAACAAATCCGGGTCAATTCCGGGCTTCCGGCGGACCGCCAGCGCGGCATCTAGCTCTTCCGGAAATACCTCGGCCTCAGAATGGTACCCTTCCGCCGCTTTTCTGGCAACATCTTGCAACGCTGACATTGCAGGACGCCGCCCCGCCTCTCCCTTTGCGCGGGCCGCGGTCGGCGATGGCATGAACACCCTCGGAGAGATCACGTCCTCCCGAGCTTGGCGTAACCCTGCCGCCTCCCACAACCGCCACAGCACTGCTCGGCGCTGTCCTGGAAGACGCTCCACATGGA